TTAGACTACAGTATCGCCAAATTAATTTTTATAGCGAATTATACTGTATTTTTGAAAATATAAGGAAAAAAGGAATTGACACAAAATATAATGAAAAATTATAGAAACCAATTTATTAAATATTAATATAAATTTTAAAGTACTCGAGAATTTAAATTTTTCTTTTTACATAAAAAACAGTTGTTTCTACGCATCAAAATTATGTCTCGTCTGACAACACACCTTGTACGACTGCAATAAATTTCACAATCGTGCGCATGCTCATAAATTAAAAAAAAGAGCTACTTTCGTACAGGATAGGAAAATTGAACTTTCTGCGGCGGTGCGACAAAAAGTACTTCAGCTCGGGTGGCAATTCACACATGGATTGTAATATCCCATTTCCGTCCCTTGGTACGTAACATACTATATTAGTGTTGTTGTCCCCAATTTGACTTTGTTAATTATGCTTTTTGATTGCTTGTTCATACATTAATTGTACATAGTAAGTATTCGTATTCTTTGTTTAAGTACTTACATTCTTCTCTACTCTTCAAAGCAAAAGTAATGGAGAAATTAAATCACTTTTCTATAACTCCTATAAAGTAACTATTTTATCGATGTTAAAATTATATTAAAAATAGTATGTCATTTTGTACGAGTCGAGCAGCTAATCATAATATAAGATTTTACTGATTTTATCTTTTGAACTCGGCAGAAAGATAACAAGAATACTTTAAAAATACTTGTTGTAAGTTGTCGATTTTTTTTGATATGTAATGTAGGTATATGAAACTACAGGTGTAATTTTATGTAGCAGAAGAATGTAAGTGGAAGTTAGGGGCGAAGCACCCACCGCAATTAATGCTGCAGTTGGTGCTTGAAGAGAAAGGGGAAAAAGAACAGCACGACGTATTGCAATGCAACTTATATTGCTAAGTTATTATTTACCTGTGCTAGATGTTATAGATCAATGACATTAGTGAGCACCCTAAGACTCGCGCTTTATTTTTATTATTTTCAGGTCATTGGGTTTATGAGGTGGAAAAGTTCCTTTCTAACAAGTACCTCCGTCCGCTTCAGTATAACGGTAACCCTAGTGAGCGCGAAAAGCTTCGCCTAAAATTCAAACTTTATAATCTTATCGTTGCGTCATACGACATTGTTCGCAAAGATATCGCGTTCTTTTCGTCGATGAAGTGGAACTACGTCATCTTGGACGAAGGTCACATCATTAAAAACGGCAAGACGCGAACCAGTATCGCCATAAAAAATCTAGTCTCTAATCACAGGCTCATTTTGAGCGGAACTCCTATCCAGAATAATGTGCTCGAGTTGTGGAGCTTATTCGATTTTCTAATGCCCGGTTTTCTTGGGACTGAGAAACAATTTAACGCGAAGTATTCGAAACCAATTTTGGCCAGCAGAGATCCAAAATGCTTACCGAAAGAACAGGAAGCCGGTGTGCTTGCCATGGAAGCTCTTCACAGACAAGTGTTGCCTTTCTTATTGCGAAGGATGAAGGAAGATGTCCTTGACGATTTGCCGCCAAAGATTACCCAAGATTACTATTGCGAACTAAGTCCTTTACAGGAACAACTTTATGAAGACTTTTCGAAATCGAGAGCCCATCAAACGTTACAGGTGAAGTTTTTGGCGTGAGTTGATTGTAAACGTTGGATTATTCTGCAGTGACCCATGAATTCTTTTTTTCCATGGAAAAAACATTACATGGGTCACGATGGAACAGACCAAGAAGTTTACAACCAATTATAAGTTATTATTTCCAAAACCATTTTGTTCACAGCAAACTCGAGTTAAATAGATTTAAATGTTGTGATCAATTTTTTATCGGAAAATACCAAACAATGATCGTGATTTCCAATTTGCTCTTTTCAGCACGCCATTGGCAGTTTCAAAATAGCTGCTAGTTACCATATGCATGAACGCATGTTGACTAATAAATCTGCTATTTCCCCTAAAGTATTGACCAAGAACATGTTCTATTTAACTTGATTTGCATGCCTTAACTGCAATTATTTTTAATATGTATTGTTAAACGTAGAGTTTCATAAAGAAAAAGGGTTTTTTGCCATCATGTTCCTCCCCAGTTTTTAAATATTTATTTAATTTATTTACATTTTTCTATTGAAAAAATAAAGTAAAAAATAAAAAAATATTACGATTAACTGATAAGAATAATTTACTTTAAATATTCAGTAACTAACATTCAAAGTAAATTCCATGCTACATTAAAAGAAAGTTTATGTTATATTAAATAATTATTGAAAATAAAACTTCGTACATTTAGGTACAGTGGCGTGATTTCTCTAATTTTGCAGGAATCGTTATCGTCAGGTGCCCCAGTCAGTTCTATTCAGGGTAATACGCACATCTTTCAGGCACTTCGCTATCTTCAGAATGTTTGTAATCATCCTAAGCTAGTCCTTAATCCATCACATCCACAGTATCAGCAGATTACTGCTCAGTTGTACAAGCAAGGGTCTGAATTGAATGCCATATGTCATTCCGCAAAACTTCCTGCATTAAAGTAAGAAAAAATATTTTCTTTTGTATCCGTTGAAATATGAAATTAATAATTGTTTTATTTCCAGACAACTTCTTCAAGATTGCGGAATTGGATTGGCTGAAGCTCAATCTCCAGAACTGGTGATTAATCAGCACAGGGCACTGATATTTTGCCAACTAAAAGCTATGCTCGACATAATAGAAAACGATTTGTTCAAGACAAATATGAGTGATGTTACCTACTTACGGTTAGATGGAACCGTCCCTCCAGTACATCGGCATGCTGTCGTTACAAGGTAAATAGCCAATCAGATGTCATTGAATAATTATAGAGTAATGTTTTTCTCAAGTTGATAATTATCGATGTTTACTAAATTTTGTTATCTCTAATTCTAAAATACTTCCCTGTATTTTATTTAATTGATGATTGTGTTCAAATTCATTTAGTAAAAACTATTTTCTTCTTCAGATTTAATAATGACCCTTCGATAGATGTTCTACTCCTAACCACTCAAGTCGGTGGAATGGGACTTAATCTTACTGGCGCAGATACGGTTATATTTGTAGAACACGATTGGAATCCTATGAAAGATCTGCAAGCTATGGATCGAGCCCATAGAATTGGTCAAAGAAAAGTAGTAAACGTTTACAGACTAATAACAAGGAATACTTTAGAAGAAAAAATAATGGGGTAAGTATCTTAGTTCTTATTTTGAATTCTCAAATAATAATTAATTTTTAACAATTGGCAAACAAACAAAGTGGTGTATGTATTAATATAAAGATAAAGCAACTTTATAAAATTTATCAAAGAAAATGCAGAATTACAAAAAGAATGGGAGTAAAATAGCTATAATATAAACACTGAGTTTTTTTTTGTTTTTTTAGTCTACAGAAATTCAAAGTTCAAACCGCAAATACGGTCATTAGTACCGAAAATAGTAGCATGGAGTCTATGGGAACTGAGCAGTTATTGGACCTATTTTCTCATAAGTCTACAAGCAGTCAATCGCAGTCGAATAATAAGGATTCGGTGAGCGGAGTTAGATCGATATTGGAGTCCCTTCCCGATCTCTGGGATCAAAAGCAATATGAAGACGAGTATGATCTGTCACAGTTCATATCTAAACTACAGAACTAGATGACTTATTGCATGTAAGTATTAACAGTACTGAACCCATTGTGTTTTAGTTTTCTTTTTTTTTTTACTTTTTTTGTATTTATAATAAACGTTTATGAAAGATTAATTCTGATATTTTTTTTGCTTATCGCGTAACATTAATGAGAATCATGCTTTCGACATTAAAAAAATATACTTGACTATAATTTGGAAAAAAGATTAATCTTCTATAGCGTCAAGAGAAGTGAATAGTTCTTTTTAATTTTTCTGCTGGATTTATTATTTATAATCATTACTAATAACTAATATGAAAATAAACTCCGCTTACTATAGTACAATCTTCAGTCACAAATGGCACGCAATCAATTGGCCTCAATTAAATTATTATATCTTCAGTAGTTTTTGAATAAATTGACATTTAATTTTCACTTGCATCCGAAACAATTTTCCTTCTTTTAACAAAAGCAACAGACGCACAATTATTATACTTACATATTTAGAACCCGCAAACGACGCACAATTTGTTTGTGGAGTTTGAATCAGTGAATTATTTATATCGGATGCCAGTTTCACACGACTGCAGTTTGCAGTGTATTTCGTATATTATAGCTCTTATCTATTATATCGCTTATCTATGATGCACATGAATACAAATTTATNAAGGATGTTCTTTTGCGGGAACATTTTCAAAATACCGTATGTGATACAACACTGCTGACAAATAGTAACACAGAAGTAATTGTTTAGTTACTACATTTTTCCCTGTACTTTAAAAGTTTTTTTGCATTTAAAATGAAACTTATTTTAATTCCTTAAATTTTAAGACAAATCAGTCTTATAAGAGCGCCAACCAGTAAAATGGAAGTTCAATAAAAAAAAATAAAACTAACTCTCCAATATCCTTTAGGAGGCTACGTTATCATACAATGAATATTGCATGTATTAATAATTCTACTTTCCTACTTACAATCACTAATTCATTAAAACCGTAAAATAATATTTGGCTATACACAACTCAGATAACGTTTCAGTTTTCAATAAATATTTTACACTGTACACAAGTGCAACACTACCTTATTGCTACTGTCCTATCAATTTTTATCATATAACTCTTTTAATTTATTCTGTTAAATTTATACTAACAACAATTGCTATTATTGTTTACAGTTATAAGACTTCAGATATTTTTTTTCATTAGTTAGAGTTGCAAAAATACTTTTAAAACTTTAATTTTTTTTTTAATAACCTTTACAAATTAACTTTCATTTTTACTGGACTGGTTACTATCCACCTCACCTTTTTTTAAAATTTCCCCTTTATATTAAAGAACTGGGTTACATTTATACCGGCAATGACCTTGTATTGCCTAGAAATCGCTTACCTGCTCTATTTCGGTTCTTGTCCGGGCCTAGTAGGTCAGATTCTGAAAATTAGGGCGTTCTTGTCCTAGTTCGTCTCATTGATCGCCCTATTTTTACATTCCTACTTTTGCTTGCTGTATATTCCGGAATAAGGAGGTCATTGTCAAGTTCGTGTAACGTAGCTTTCGAGGTGGCGGTTGATCTTGACTTCATCCAATTTTAACAAATTACAAAATAACCCAGTAGAAGTAGATGGAATGACTCTTTATTTAATTAACAATAAAAAAGAGTTTGTATTGCATACAAATAAGATGAAGACACTTTTACACTAAATTTTAAGAAAATACATTAAAACAAAACTAACAAAAATCACTAAGAAAGCATCCAGTGTTAGGGGACATCCATTAGTTATATGAGCCCATAATGAGGGGACGGGTTCATTAAAATTTCATTTAAAATGAGCGGGGATCATTGAAAATCTCACATTTTAATTTAAAGAACATACATATAATTTATCATCAATTTTTTTACTTTTTACGAGGTAAATCTCACGTAAAGGGGAAAGGAGTGGTCTTAATTATTACGTAATTAATGGACGTCCCCTTTGATTTTATATGTACTTCTCTATATTTCTTTAATTACATACATTATTTTGTATCTATTTTTTGTTGAGATTGAAACTTTTCATTTATTGAAATCAAAGTTCACTTAAAATATACTTTTTTGTATGCCTTTAAAATTTTGAGGCCCTTAATATTCGATTTCTGGTGTTGCTACAGTATTATTCCTTAAAACAATTGTAAATTAAAAATCGTTAAAACAATAACTCCCAGCAAAAACGTTCTTTTTATAATTGTTAGGTATTTCACCACAATTGCATTTGATGTAAATACATTTCCCACTATTGTTCTATTGTATTCAACGTAAGCAATACTTGTATCGCAATAAAACACAAAAAAAAATTAACTTGAGCAATTTATTCCACTTAACTTAACATTATAAATGTTATTGTATATGTATAGTTTTAGAACTTTACAAAAAAGCTTTACACACAAATGATTGTGCTTCGTAGGTAACAAATGCATCAATAAATTGTCCTGAAATGCATATTAACAAATGCGTTACTTTTATTTATTACATTATTCGGAACAGCTATTAGTAACACATCAACATTCTTAAACATTATGGATTATTTCGTTTCGATTAAATGTAGTATGAACAGTTGCTATATTTATATGAAATGTTTAAGAGACAGTTTCCACTGATTTTTAAATTAATATAGTAATTATAATTATATACTTTACATGATGTGATAAATGTTTTTACTATTATCATNTTTTTGATAATGTTATATTTGATTTTTGACTATTAGATAAATTTACTTTTATAGATTAATAACTCATTATCAGATACAAAACATCAACAGTTTAAAAAATTGATAACATTTAAAATTTAAATGTTGTCAACTTCGGTTTCTTTTCATTTATAATTAAAATTTGATTTTAAAAATAATTAAAATTACCTAATTCAATAACATAAAATCAGCATGTAAAAGATTTAGTTAATTAAAATAACAAACATGACAAAAACCATCTATAAGTCAAAAGAACTTTTAGTTACTAATGATTGAATTACCTTGAAACCATTCTGGATGTTCTTCCTTCTTGCTCATCTCTACCTTGCTAGTATCAATTCCTTTCAAAACCTCAGCTAATTTGAAAACTTTATTTTTCATTTTCTCAGTAAAAAATTCTTGCACTTTCTCACCAGCTGACAAATACTCTTCATTTACTTCTCGAATTGTTTTGTATAAAATTTCAGTATCAGTTTCTGCTCTCTCGCCCTGTTTAACCCAAATTAATAATGTCTGAGATTCAAGGGTTTGAAAATAGTCATTATTTTCAATAACAGTTCCATCTTGCATTTGAAATGTTATTTGATTTTCAGGTAAATCTAATTTAAATTTTTCTACCGTTTTCCTTTTGAGTTCGTCTAGACTTTTAGCGGCAATTCCAACTCTCGTTTTTCTTTCCGAATCTGTTACTTTAAATCCTTTCATTGTACCCATCGTTATGACTTTAAATTTCGCGCTTAACAAAAACAACTATTATAAAACAATTGAAAGAAGTATTTAATTTCTTAAAAACACAGCTATCAAGTAATAAAAGCAAACTCACTGCTGCGTTGCACAGGCGTTACATTAACAATCTTGTTTCCCGAACCCTTTTGACAATGAATGCAGTTTCTCGGGAAAGCGCAGAACTAGGTCAATGTCTGGATAGCCTACATTGACCTATTTATCCTTTGTCCTTAAAATTTTCTGCTCATGCGTTACCAGGTTACCACGCTACCATTTTTTCTTTCGTTTTCGTTTTAAGCAGGAAGAATGGAACCTTAATAGAACATCACTGGTCTTATGTTAGTTATACGGACATTTACTAGAAGCACTTTTGATGACTGCTTTGTTTATTTCATATTGTTATAAAAAGCTTAATTCATAATATTACATTCTAATAATAATGTTTGCTAACTTTGCTTTTTATTATTTGTAATGTAAGCAACATACGAAATAATAACAACAAAACCTCCCGTTTTTGAATGCTCCTGATAAATAATTTATTTTATGATTAATTAGATAAATAATCAGTCATTAATTTTTTATCTTAGTGGACTCGTAGTAGCTATGGCTTGCTCGTCTATTAATAAGGCAGTTAACCACTATTAACGTACGAATTGCTATAAGCTACCACTAGCTAACACTTTTTTAAAAATAAGTAAAATAATATAACAATAGGCTTTAATTTTTCAATGCCCTCTAGTGTCTTTTGTGACCATACATCGGGAGGTAATCACTAAAAAACAAAACACGACAGTGAAAATAACAACAGCTCATCACATCATTTTCACTATAAATTTACTATTTGAAGTTACATGATGGTTACACTAGAGGGCATTGAAAAAATCATAACATGATAACATGTTCATAACCATAGAATAGTTCGTATAGTTCATAACAATTCATATTATTTCTTACTTTAACTTTTCTAATTAGAAAATCAAAAATGAAAAAATCTGAAGAGATTAATCAAGAAAATGAGGAACGTATAAAAGAAGGCACTGCTAGTATTACAACTTTTGGAAGTGTTTTTTATAATCCAGTACAAGAATTTAATCGTGATTTAAGGTATGAAAAATTAAGCATGTTAACTTTTTTTGAGTATATTGTTTTAGTATATCAGTTATTAATGTTTACATTCAACAAATTTTGAATACTAAAAATTCAATTACCAAAGAAGGGAACCCTTCATTAGTTGAAAATAAAAGTGAAGTGGAACCTGATATAACAATTTTAGAGGCCTTGGCTGCGTCAGGCCTAAGGAGCATACGATATGCAAGAGAGTTAGATGGCAATAAAAAGATTATTGCAAATGATATATCCAAAAAAGCAGTTGAATCAATGGAAAGTAATATTAATGGTAACAATGTGGCAAATATTGTTGAAACAAGTCACAGTGATGCAATGTAAGAAGGGGACTTTGAACATCTAATTTTATTTTACAGATTTATTTCTTTAAGATTATTAATGCATAAACATAAACAAAAAGGAAAACAGTTTGATATTATTGATTTGGATCCTTATGGTTGTCCTTCAATATTTTTGGACTCTGCAGTACAGGCTGTAAAAGACAATGGTTTATTACTTGTTACTGCCACTGACATGGCCATATTGGCTGGAAACAGCCCTGAAACATGTTATGCAAAATATGGATCTGTCTCACTGAAAATTAAAAGTTGTCATGAAATGGTAAATATTATAATGTAATATGTTTTAATATTTTTTTAAAGCTACTGTTGTTTTCTTTGAAGGCATTACGAATTCTGTTACAATGTATAGAATCACATGCAAATAGATATGGAAGGTACATAGAACCAGTCTTATCTCTATCAGCAGATTTTTACATTAGAGTTTTTGTTAAAGTTTTTTCTGGTGCTAACAAATGTAAAAGAACAACTAGGTAACTATTGCTATATGCATAACATTTAATTTATATACCTACAATATTCTGTATCAGATAATGTTTTAGATGAAAAGGCCTTTTATTTGTAGCAATTTGTAGTATTTTTTTTTTACTTATTTTTAGCAAATTATCAATGGTCTATCATTGTACAGGATGTGGTACTTTTGTCTTACAACCCTTGGGAGAAATAAGAACAAATAACAAAAATGAGCAGGTGAAATTTGGTCTACCAACTGTTTCTGTGGCAATGCCTTTGTGTAACCACTGTGGTCAACGATATCATGTAAATATTGACTTCATATTCTACTTATCAACCACATAATAATCGTACAATTTTCTTTCTTGAAAAGATGGGTGGTCCTATTTGGTCGGCCCCTATACATTCGTCAGAATTTGTTAAGCAAGTTCTAGACAGTGCTTCTGATAAATTAAAGACGTATAAACGCATTCAAGGAGTTTTAAGTGTGGTATTGGAAGAAATTAGTGATAGCCCTTTGTATTTTACTTTGGAAAAATTGGCTGGAACACTTCATGTTGAAACACCACCAATGATGGCTATAAGGTAACAAAAAACATTAACTGTGCTGTGCAAGTCTTAGGCTTTTACAACTATCACCTGATTGTAAACTTTTTCCATATTGTTCTGCTATGCTCCAATTCTTTTCCAAACGAGTCGTAAGTCTCCTTAGCTCCAGCAAGATCATTACTAAAGATATTGTTAAAAAGAAGTTTACAATAATTTGTGGAATCTTAAAGAATTGTTTCTTCTTTTTTTTAAGATCCGCGATTTTAAATGCAGGTTATCAAGTATCTTTTACACATACAAATAAGACTGGTATAAAAACAAACGCTCCAGCTACAGTTATATGGGATATAATGCGTTGCTGGGAAGCCAAACACCCTTCTAAGAAAAAAAATATTGAAGGGAGTGTTGCTCAACGCATTTTATTAACGAGTCCCGCCAAGATGCATTCTTTTGATATTCGAAATGATGCCAATCCCATGTCGAGACGAATGGGCTATGTGCGCTTTCAAGAAAATCCGTTACCCTATTGGGGTCCAGGCACAAGAGCGACCGCAATGTAAGCGCAAGTTTAAATGCTCTTTATTCATTTTTATATATAAGCTTATGTTTCTTTTAGGATCGGAGAATATAAAATGGCAAAAAGCAAACAAAATCAGGGAAAAAGAAAACGCGATAACTCGGAAGAGAACAAATAAAAAATGTTATTTATTTTTTTGTATATCGATTTAAATAAAAGACACTGGTACGATTATATTTAAAAACATTATTTATTTATTACTACTTATTTTAACTAATCGTAAGTGTAATTATGTTTAATGCGAGCTTTTGTTTGTTATTTTTATTACGATTCACGCACACTTTCAAAAATCAATTTTGCGTATGTTCTCGTAGCACAGATTTTTAAAGATGCGCATGAGCTAAGGAAAATCTAACGATGAGGACAAGCTCTTTAAAAAATTATGTTTACAAGTTAATAGCAATAACGGGGCGATAAGGGATTTATCTTTATGCTATGTTTGTAGAATTGTATTCTATTTCTGAAATAAAGGTACACACTATTATGTATGCAGCATAGGTACAAGTAAACAATTATACAGAAAAGAAGATTTTCAACTTTTGAACTAAAACAAAATATATTCAATNATATATATATATATTATATCTTAATATAAGTATAGATATTTATATTATAGTAGTATTAAACCAATGTGATAGGATATGTTCTTTTTATTGCAGTCGATGTAATACTAGTCAATGGTCTTTTATCTATCTGAATATCGTTAATAATTTCATTAGAATGTTTAAGAAGTATTTCATGTACATCTTCAATACTTTTACTAGCATCTACTATTTTCCAGTAATTCTCTATTTCAGCAAACTGCCTTAATATTGTTGAGACATTCTTTTGCATTTGAAGGTTCTCATAACGTTCACTTCCAAAACCTGATCTTAGTCTCGAATCTTCAGGGTTTATGTCCAGAAGAAAAACCAAATCTGGTTGAGGAAGTCCAACTTCTGGTTGTAAACACCACATGAAATCTAATCCTGTATTAAAGAAAACAGCGTAAGTTAATTTTAATAATGAAGAACTGCAGCCAAGCATAAATGGTTTTAATAATTTTAAATTTAGAGACTCGACACATACACCAAAACATCTTTTTAAATTTTTATCAAGTTTAGACAATTTTGATTACCTACTAAAAATTGCTGTCAGTTTTGTTAAAAAAGAAACATTAAATATTTATCAATGCCATCATACGATTTAATATGTAAATTGTATATTTGTGATGATTAAATAAAATTATTACTTAATTAAAATAAATTAGGGAGGTCAACACAAATGATTCAATATCTTGAATAGACCAGTGTTTGAGAAAGAGGCAGAAACATAAAATGCATAAAGCTAGTTAACTGAAAGAGGATTGTTCATAGGGTACTCATGAAACCTTCAAAATGCACCACTGAACAATTAGGAGAAAAAGTGTTCAATAAGATTAGCAGCAGAGACAAATCAATTATTATATATTCTTGATCCAAATAGAGCCCGTCAATTGCTTTTCAAGGTATCTGGGGGTTCTATTGTAATGCATTAACATGACACATTTTTTGTGTTAACTATTGATTCAGTTGTTGAATATACATTTTAATAAACTTCTCACAATCACTATTGCAACAAGTGACTTAATTGTATTTGACAATTACTTGTTAAACATGTTCATTTGAAACCAAAAATAGAATTGAAATTTATAAATGTATATTACTAAAAATGACAATCTTCTGAACTTGGTGTAACTTAAATTCTTAAGCACTTGTTTTTTTGTTTACCTTTTGCAACAGAGTATGCAACACCTGAATAAGAATATCTGTCCACAATTATAGAGGTACCAGCAAATAGTTTGGAACGAATAAAGTCCAAATTTTCCCAGCGATTTGCAGAAAATAACAAGTGTATTGTTTGATCATTTATGTGGTAATCCTTATTACTTAAGTACTTCGAAATTAGCTGACCGGTGTTTGATGTTCGATTGGGAAAAGCCATACGTTCTGCATTGATATTCAACTTCCTTAATGATTCTATCAATTTAGCTGATTGAGTGCTCTTGCCCGTTCTGTCTATACCTTCCAGAATAATAAAAGCACCTCGACTCATATTACAATAATTTATGAAATGAAATAACCATGAACCAATGTAAATAACTAGTATAAATCAAAATAGTGTAATCATTTTTCGGCGGGATTTAAACTATTCCATAGACCATATACCCTTTGTATATCTATTATCTATGCCATAGACATAGACAAGTCCATAGACATATTCATAGATAAGAATGTACTTCTTGTGAATGTGGTAGTTGTGAGAATCTGGCACCTGATATAAATAATTCTCTAATTTAAACTTTATCAATAAATGGTGCGTCATTTGCGGGATCTAAATATGTAAGTATCATAATTGCAGGTCCATTAGTTCTGTTAAAAAAAGGAAAATTGTTTTGGATGCAGGTGGAAATTAAATGTCAATTTATTCAAAATCTACTGAAGACATAATAATTTAATTGACGTCAATTGATTGCGTGTCATTTGTGCTTGTAGACTAATCTACTATCACCTGATTGTAAACTTTTTCCATATTGTTCTGCTATGCTCCAATTCTTTTCCAAACGAGTCGTAAGTCTCCTTAGCTCCAGCAAGATCATTACTAAAGATATTGTTAAAAAGAAGTTTACAATAATTTGTGGAATCTTAAAGAATTGTTTCTTCTTTTTTTTAAGATCCGCGATTTTAAATGCAGGTTATCAAGTATCTTTTACACATACAAATAAGACTGGTATAAAAACAAACGCTCCAGCTACAGTTATATGGGATATAATGCGTTGCTGGGAAGCCAAACACCCTTCTAAGAAAAAAAATATTGAAGGGAGTGTTGCTCAACGCATTTTATTAACGAGTCCCGCCAAGATGCATTCTTTTGATATTCGAAATGATGCCAATCCCATGTCGAGACGAATGGGCTATGTGCGCTTTCAAGAAAATCCGTTACCCTATTGGGGTCCAGGCACAAGAGCGACCGCAATGTAAGCGCAAGTTTAAATGCTCTTTATTCATTTTTATATATAAGCTTATGTTTCTTTTAGGATCGGAGAATATAAAATGGCAAAAAGCAAACAAAATCAGGGAAAAAGAAAACGCGATAACTCGGAAGAGAACAAATAAAAAATGTTATTTATTTTTTTGTATATCGATTTAAATAAAAGACACTGGTACGATTATATTTAAAAACATTATTTATTTATTACTACTTATTTTAACTAATCGTAAGTGTAATTATGTTTAATGCGAGCTTTTGTTTGTTATTTTTATTACGATTCACGCACACTTTCAAAAATCAATTTTGCGTATGTTCTCGTAGCACAGATTTTTAAAGATGCGCATGAGCTAAGGAAAATCTAACGATGAGGACAAGCTCTTTAAAAAATTATGTTTACAAGTTAATAGCAATAACGGGGCGATAAGGGATTTATCTTTATGCTATGTTTGTAGAATTGTATTCTATTTCTGAAATAAAGGTACACACTATTACGTATGCAGCATAGGTACAAGTAAACAATTATACAGAAAAGAAGATTTTCAACTTTTGAAC